ACATCACATAAACATAGCTGACGCAGTCTGTAGATGAGAAAGCACCTGATTCTCAAAGGGACACATTACTTATACCTAACAGAATCCAGAAATATAAAGGAGAGGGAGTAACCCTATTTATTTAGAATACCAACCTCTTCTCGTTTATCCATATATTCCATAAAAGTAGGATGCACAAATCAGTAACCTGCTGCTTGAAGTTCAAAGAACTAGAGTTGCTGATCAACTTCATTTATAACAGTCCAAATCGTGAGGTGAATGAGGTCTTGTTAGACAAGTTCAGTACTTGATCTTCAGGTATGAGACCGTTAATTAAGGAGGGACTTAAAAACACCTGAAGACTGAGAAAATCTAATGGCTGAATTCTCGGACAATTTTTTCGAACAGAAATTAGATGACGCGGTTATTACAAGTGCCATAGTGCAACATGTAAATGAGGCAAATAGGTACCATTCGGATTTTGAATCATCCTTACTGGATCTCATGTGAAGTCGACGTCTCAGACCTCGGTTATACGCCACCCGCAGGTAAGAGTAACCTTGCAAGTCTAGTCTTTGATTTCCAAATCGTTATCAACAACGTTGTATCAGCTCATGCCACACCTAAACGACCCATTGAAACTGCTTGGAATGTATTCAGAAATTTATACATTAAAGTTGCTGCACGGCATATCATTTAGACTACAAAAAAAGGATCCAAGAATTTCCCCACAATGGCCGAGTCAGGAAGTTCACACTCTTCTCTGCGAAAGGAAAAGAATATGGTAGAAATGTATTGCATTTAGCACTGATGAGGAAAAAAATCGCAATATCAGGAAGCCTGAAATATTTGCACCTCAACCCTCTGCAAGTCTAGAAGATTTTATGAACAGAAAGCAATAAAGTTGTCCTTATGGTGCTCAAAGCGCCTATACTCATGCACGAACCAACGGACTAAGAGAAGAGGCAGCACACTAGCATTATGGAGAGACAGTAGTACTACATCATTGGTGGAAGATGATTATTTTAAAGCTCAGGCATTGTGAAGCCACATTGGGAATGTATATACTAAAGAGGTGCCTCTGTCTCCAGTCCATACAAACTTCTCTATACACACTTTGGACACTATGTTCAGTAAGCAGTTTAATTTGCTCGATCTGTTGAGTAAGCTTGATTCAAACAAATCTATGAGACTCTATGAAATGCATCCTAGTTTGCCTAAGGAACTAGAAAATTCGCTTGTAGACCACTTAGGCGTACGTTCTAACCTACCTGACAACCAAGGTAGACTGATAAAAGACTAGAAGAACGCCATATTAGGTCCTGTCCTCAAAACAGGTGAGAAACATAAACCAGTGAGCTTAAGCGATGTGACTGTAAAAATTTCGCAAAAGATTATTCATAAGGAGCCATTCAAGTACCTAAACAAAAGTCAGATTCTCCCCACAAGGCAGAATGGCTTTAGAACAGGCTTTTAATGTTTCATAAGCGTATTTGTAGCTCCTGAAAGCTAATGCTCCCCTAAAGATCAAAAGCTGTCTATGGGTGTAGCCTTCAGTGAGTTTAGAAATACTTTAGACAAAATTATTTACAACTCGCTGTATTATATGTTAAGTGATTTGGGGATCGAGACAACTTACTCAAGTGGATTAAGTATTTTCTAGTCAGATAACAACTGAGAGACCTGGTTTACTCCAAGCTGTCTAGCTGAGGAATTGTGTTTGGCGGCTGCCTCAGGGTACAGTTTTCAGGCTTCTGTTCTTCCTTCTGTATGTCAGTGACCATCCTTACCTCCTGTCTTCATTGGCTTCGTTAAATGCCGCCGATATCAAGATATGGAGAGCGATAAAAAAACAAGATGATACTCTGAGCACCAAAGTAGCCTATACAAATTATCTGAACGTTCCAGATTCGGGAAATTGCTAAAATATGCTTCCAAATGCATCATGAAGCATAATTGTCACTAAGATAAAGTAAGATACACATTCATTAACACTGAGATGCCTGTTATCTAGACACAAAGAAAAAGGGGTCATTACTAGATAAGACCTGAAAAAGGCTGCACACTGTTGTGCGATAGCAGTATAAGGTTTTAAACTCTATGCTCTATATGTGGAGCCTTTAGCCGTGTCAGTGCTGAAACGTTCTTGACATTGTAAATGTCCATTCTTTGTTCCAATGTGAAGTAATGCATACGATCATCCAGCTTCTTCCTAAAAAGGACAGTGAGTTGTTGAAAATGCTTCAAAAGACTGAGACTAAGTTGATTCTCGGAATCACAAAGGAAATTGACTGAAAAAAACCAAACCTATTTTCGTTAGCATTCAGAAGAGCCAGAGGTCAATTACTTACAGTTTTTAAACTGCTAAATGATAAGTACACATCTGACATGCCCTCATTTTTTGCCATCCAATAAAAAATTTTTATTCGGACACTAGGAAAATTTACAAGCAGAGAACAAATTACTTGTCTTCTGAATAGTGACTTTCTCATAGAACTTGATACCCCAACACGAGTTTAAAGCTTGGTGTGTTGATGCATCTGAGAAAAATCCGGATCAGCTGAAGGATCAAAATTACTAGGACCAGATACCTGGGGTCGTAACGAAGAAACAAGAAGCAAGCAATTATAAATCAACTGTGATTAGAATACCTAACGAAAAAGACATTAGAAATCAGGAAAAATTAAAACGGATCGCTCATCCTCTGTACTTTCCAAGTTGAAGCAGAAACTGAAACTGTAAATTGTGGCGCAGAGATCGAAAATATGCGTAGCGCTCAAGGACATTTCTCGTCATATGTTTTAGTTTTTACTACTATATTGTTCTAAATCCACAGCTTTCCCTACACTTACTCGATCAAAGAGTAAGTTTGGTTAACTACATACCAGCATCAAAAGCGTAAATTCCACTCCATGAAAGGGAACGCGTAATCCCTATGCTTATGTACATAAGTAGACTTAGTGGTATAGATCCTGATCCTAACCTTCTGTAAATTTTAAAGGTACCTATACTAAGTTTTTCGCATTATTTTTTTAGTTCTTTTAACCTAGTTTTAGCTTATAAGTGGCATCTCTGGTAATTCTTTCACAATCTACCGAATTCGGGTAAATTTTGCGGTTTTCCCCAGAACTGTTTAAAAATCCATTGTTCCCCCGAACCGTTTATGACTCTACACAAAATTTCAAGTTATCTTGACTAAAAGCCTCAGACCAGGGGAAGTTTTGGGACTTCCAGTTTTATTTCCCTCAAAGTTTACCAATGGAAGCTTATCTACCGTCAGAAGATTGCGTATGCAGTAAGCCTCAAGTGAATAACAGTGTCACTTTTCCATATCCTCTTGCATAGTTGCGTCTGGTCAACATTGAATTGTCGGATAAAATGCAACTGACTGAGCAAATACATAACGTATGATCAATTATCAGGAAACGATTCCTAAGGGTTGGCACTTAGTAAGATTATTTGGTTAAGAATTTGATTGTCATCTTCTTTTTTATTATGGCAGTATATTGTGTCTTGGACTCGAAATTTGTATCCACAAGTTAATAGAGCAGCGTCATGAGCTACCAGAAAACCAGTCTGGTTTTCGACCTGGACGTGGTTGTATAGACCACATCTTCACACTACGACATGTCCTGGAACACAGACACACATTTAGACGTCCGACAATAGTCGTGTTCCTAGACATAAAAGCGGCATTTGACTCAGTGGATCGTGAGGTTCTGTTGCAGTTTCTGTCATTGAAAGGTGTACCAAAGAAGTACATTAACCTTATACAAGCACTCAACTCGAACACTACAGGTCGAGTGAGAGCATATGGCGAACTGTCATCTGAATTCTCTACTTCAAGCGGTGTCCGTCAGGGCTTCCCACTCTCTCCATTCTTGTTTAACTTTGTCGTAGACATCCTGTTAGAGTTAACATTAAGCTCTCCAGATATTTCAGGGGTTGACCTTCTACCAGGAAATTCGCTTACTGATCTAGAATATGCCGATGACATAGCTCTATTCGGTGTTGACGCTGACAAAATGCAGAGTCGTTTGACTACCATAAGCAACAATGCGAGCATGTTCGGGATGCGGTTTTCCCTCTCGAAATGCAAAATGTTGCTTCAAGACTGGGTTGCATCGGCACCTAAACTAGTGATAGGGAGTGAAGTAGTCGAGCGTGTAGACCGCCTCACTTATCTGGAGAGTCCATCACCGTTGATAGCCTGGTGACTGATGGAATCTCAGCTCGGATACAGAAGGCTCGATTGGCTTTTGCCAACCTGCGTCACTTATGGCGTAGGCAAGATATCCGTTAGCTGACTAAAGGACGAGTCTATTGTGCAGTAGTTCGCTCTGTCTTACTTTATGGCCGTGAAACATGGCCGTTAAGAGTAGAAGATGTTCGTAGGTTACTAGTATTCGATCATAGATGTTTAAGAAGCATTGCTCGTATATCGTGGTACAACCGAGTGAGCAATGCTGTCGTTAGGAAACGAATTCTAGGAAGGGACGGCAAATCAATAGATGAAGTGGTCAAACTTCATCAGTCGAGGTGGTTGGGACATGTGTTACGAATTCCTAACCACCGACGAGCCATGTTTTGTGGTGTGGGAGTTGTTCGGAAAAAAGCTAGGGGCGGCCAGACCAAAACATGGCAGAAATCCATGAAGTCACTGACTAGTGGACTGAGTCATGTCGGTAGATGTCGACTAACTGGTTGGGGTCCGCGAGACGAAAGTCACCAATGGTTAGAGACCTTGAATGTTATGGCTCAAAATCGTTTTCAATGGCACAAGTGCATCCATTCGTTGTGCTCTCTCAAATCCTAATCTTCTGGATTCGTCAGCACCTCTACATTTGTCTTTCTAACCTTATCTCACTGAATTATACTTCTTAAATAATATCTTCAAACCCTAGTCTTCTTCCTTACCATTAATACCTCTACTATCTCTATCACTATGGGATTTGATTTAACATTTGCGTCTCTCTGCTAATGTGGTATGGCAACATGAACTGATGTACTTACGTACGAATTTCTACGTTGCAACTGACTGACTGACTGACCGTTTCTTGGTAAACAGTGATCAACAATAGGTTCATACACCACTCATCTTGTCATGATCCTAGAGCCCATTTGCATCCTTGGTTTTGAAGCTGCGGTGTTCGAATTCCCTTCGGAGGATCCTTTGTATTCACCATTTCTGTTGAAGCCCTCTCTGAACATTCACTTTTCATCCTTCGAATTTTGTCAGCAACACTTGTGCCATGAGAATGCAGTGAGTAGGTCTCTTCCATGACAGTGGCTACATAAGAGTAACCTCTTGAAAACATTCTCTACTCTCAACTATACCTGGGCATTTGAGGGTATTTCCATTCAGTTTTTTTTTGTCTTTTTCAATAATGATTCTCAGATATATCAATCTCTTTGCAAAATATTTAATTATCGTCTAAAAATTTTTTTAAATTTTATGTTATCTACTTATTAATAGTATGTCCAACAGTGATTATTCTAATCTGAATGATATACAAACATTAGAAATTGAATTTTTATTTTCTATTTTTGAAAATAATCAAAATCATTGTTCATTAGAATATGATAAATTATCACGACGTGGTTCATTCACATTTCATCCACAATTCTATGAACCTATTAAATTATATGGACCATTTATAAATATAAAATTAAGAAATAACTACGCAATTGAATCTGTACCTAATACAATCGATAAATATTGTTATCATTTAAAATATTTCCCTGTATTTATTATGACATTTACACTTCCATCTACTTATCCTGGACATATTGCTAATCTATCTATACCTGAATTCACCTTATCATCAATTTGGTTACCGCAATCAATTCTTATTGAATTAAAAATGAAATTAATTGAAATTGCCAATAATAATTTAGGTGAAGTGACACTTTTGCCATGTATAGAATTTCTACAAAATGAATATTTCTATGAAATGATTGCTAAATTCACTGACAATAATCATGAATTATTTACATTTGATCTTTATAAATTTTATGAATATTATACATCAGAAATAAATTTATCCATTGAAGATATTTGTTATTTATTCATCTCAAATAATGATGATCGACTTGATATAGAATTTGCTGAAACATTAATTGAATGTAATGTATGCTTTGAAATAAAAAAAGGAAAATTATTTATTAAATTTAAAAAATGTCAATGTTTTGTTTGTCGTGATTGTACAATTGAAAGTTTTAAACTTTCAATTAATGAATCATTATTTAATGGACCATTGTCATGTTTACAATGTAATGAAGAAGTTGATTATACAGAGGTGAGTTTTTTTTTTGTAGATTGGGCTATTTTTTTTTGGGGGGTGATAATTTGAAAATATTTATAAGTTGTGTTTTGTTTTTTTTTAATTTCTTTTGTAGTGAAAATACCAATGAAGAAGTAGTCAGTGTAGTTAGGCATTCGTATTACATGTACCAACCACCGCAACTGATGAAGTTTTATTATACCTCCTCATCCATTGATTTTACATGCTTACCGAGTACCCGTTTCGTAACATTAGCTTTGTCTACTCGATAGTCTCACGATAAATGAGTTAGGGGCGGCTAAATCAAAACATGGCAGAAATCCATGAAGTCATTGACGAGTGGACTGAGTCATGTTGGTAGGTGTAGGCTACCTGGTTGGGGTCCGCGAGATGATAATAATCGATGGTTAGATACCCTGAATGACATGGCTCAGAATCGTTCGCAATGGCGACGGTGCATTTATTCTTTGTGTTCTCTCAAATCCTAATCTTCTGGATTCTTCAACCCTCCTAGTTTTGACTTTCTAAACTTTTCTCATTGAATCATACTTCTTGAATAATATCTTCTAATCCTAACCTCTCCGATTTACTTCTAATACCTTTACTACCTCTTCTACTAATGGATTTGAATTGACAATTACATCTCTGTGCTGATATGGTATGGCGACATGAACTGATGTACTTACGTACGAAATTCTACGTTGCATCTGACTGACTGACTGACTCAAGATAAATGAGCAATGCTTCGGAGACACCTATGATTGAAAACCGGTAATCTACGAATATCTTTGACTCTGACTGGTCATGTTTCACAGCCATATAGTAGGATGGAGCAAGCGGTTGCACAGTAGACTCGTTCTTTTGGTTACCAGATGGATATCTCGCCTACTTCATAAGTGACGCAGGTTGGCAAAAGCCAATCGAGCCTTCTCTATCCATGCTGAGATTTCGTCAGTCACCAGGTCATCGGCACTGATGAGACTCCCCAGATAAGTGAAGCTGTCTACACACTCAACTGCTTCACTCCCTATCACTAGTTCAGGTGCCGTCGAAAGCTAATCCTGAAGCAACATTTTGCATTTGGACGGAGAGAATCATATCCCGAACATGCTTGCATTGTTGCTCAGGGTAGTCAGAAGACTGCATTTGGTTAGCGTCTTCATCAAGTAGAACTATGTCATCGGCATACTGTAAGTCAGTTACCATGTCTCCACTCCTAAAAATTCAGACGAAAGTAAAGTTAACTCTAGAAGCATGTCTACGACAAAGTTAGACAGAAATGGAGACAGTGGACATCCCTGACGGACATCACTTAAAGTAAAGAATTCCGATGACAGTTTGCCATAAACTCTCACTCAACCTGTAATGTTTCAGTAAAGAGCTTGTCTAAGGTCAATGTACTACTTTGGTACACCTTTTGATGACAGAAACTGCCACAGAACCTCATGGTTGACAGAGTGGAATGCTGCTTTAAGGTAGAGAAATACTACTATTGTAGGACGTCTAAACGAGTGACTATGTTTGTTCTAGAATCTAACGTTGTGTGAATATGTGGTCTGTACAGCCACGTCCATGTGTGAAACCATCAATCGCATCTGTAACCTATCTCAAATCGATTTAATAAGAATCTCAGTATACAATCATATCGCATAGTATGTTATTGTCATTTCATTGCTTCTAATAAATAATTTTCTATATTTCTATGATTTTAAAGCATAAATAATCTCTTATACTACTTATTATCTATCTATCTATCTTATAGATTCGTTATATTTTACCTAAAGATCTATACAATAAATATGAATCTTTAGTATTAAAACGAAGTTTAGATATTATGCCAGATATTGTATATTGTCCAAGACCAAAATGTGAATTTCCTGTTCTCTTAGATTCAGAAAATCTTGGACGTTGTCCACAATGTGAATTAAGCTTTTGTCCTATGTGTTTAAAAACATATCATGGTGTAAATCCATGTAAAATTAAATTACAAACATTTGGTAAGTTGATAAGTATGCATTTTTCTTTGAATTAGTTATGAATTTGCATGATGGGGTTTTGAAGATTGTTAAGTTACACATTTGAAATCATCAATCAATTATTGTTAGACCACCATTTGAAACCTGGAAGCACTGGACGGCCGTTTCGTCCTGGTATGGGACTCATCAGTGACAGTGCGCATCCACGACTCTTGCATCCCGCAGGATTTGAACCCAGGACCTTCGGTGTTGTGCGCGAACGCCCTAACCGATAGACCACTGAGCCGGTATCTAACGGTGTTAATGTCTAACTTGATCAAATTCACGGAGTTGCGCAACCTCATACACAGTCTTCGGTAGACACTGCCTACACCCGAACAGGTTGAACTTCACTGGTCACGTCTTCCCACTAAAACTCGGAGAAGATTCCTCACGAAGCTAGTCACTAGTGAGCACAGGTAATTTGCGCAACTCCGTGAATTCGATCAAGTTAAACATTAACACCGTTAGATACCGGCTCAGTGGTCTAACGGTTAGGGCGTTCGCGCACAATACCGAAGGTCCTGCGTTCGAATCCTGCGGGATGCAGGAGTCGTGGATGCGCACTGCTGGGGAGTCCCATACTAGGACGAAACGGCCGTCTTTCAGTGCTTCCAGGTTTCTAATAGTGGTCTAACATTGATCGATTCATGGTTTCAAAAAATGTGTTAGTTATTAATGTTAGAGTTATTTTTGCTGAATAATCTCATCAGATGAGATAGACAATAAAAATAATAATAGTAATGTTTCGCCTGCACGTAAACATGTCAATTTGATAGGCTTGAACTATTACGAGTTTACCTAGTCGGAATACGAGAGCGAGGATCAAGGATCCAGTGACACGACATGCTACACTAATCCGAGTGTCCCAACCCCCTATTGAGTAACAGAAGAACACGTGATATGAAGTCGAACGTGTATTCTACAAGCATCCAGGAAGTATGAGGTTCGAGTCCAGAAGAGGCTGATGATCCAGGTCATAAAACGTTACAGATAATGCGTATTTATGCATTTTGGTTGAATGAGAAACAGCATCGAAGTGTGTGACATTGACAGTTAAGACGACCAATAAGAAGCAACATTTGAAGTGACATTGATAGTCAGGACAACCAATAAGGAACAACATTGGAGCACGTGACATTGATATCTACTAGGACGACCATAAAATTGACCAGTAGGAATTAACCAATAGGAATTGACTAATAATTCTCTTAGGATATTGGATGAATATCCTAACAAGTAATAATAATAATGATTACCTACTTACACCTGTTACCCCTAATCGAGCATAAGCCCACCGACTAGCATTCTTCAACTTACTCTGCCTTGAGCCTTCCTTTCCACTACTACCTAATAGCTGGTCATCTTTTTAATGTCTGTTTCCAATTTTTTATCGTAATATGTTCTTTGGTCTTCCTCTTTTCCTTTGATATTGAGGATCCTAAGTGAGAATTTGTCTTGTGACTGAGTTGGATGCTGTCCTCAATGTGTATCCTATCCACCTCTAGTGCTTTTCCCTTATTTCTTCTGCTGGAATCTGGTTTGGTTGCTGCTGGTAGTTCCTGGCCAACAGATATAAAGTGTCTTGTTTCGAAGACTGTTAATACACATCCGTATCTTGTGGATAATGGTTTTCGTGGTTCCTCAAGTTTCCACTTCATACAATAAAAATGTTTTTTTTGTATTGAAAATTGTGACCTTGTTAGATGTTATTCAATTGTGGAAATGATTCCTTTGCTCAGCTAATCTATTTGATTACATCTGCGTCAGATCCACCTTGTTTATCAGTGATGTAAACGTTTCCACGTAGCTTTTCATATCTTCTCCGTCAAGTGTGATATGGTTGATGTATTCTCCCTTGTATCTTGCTTTTTCCCTTGTGTATGTTGATACTTACTGCTGAAGAGGCTGCTACTACACTGTTTGTCTCCATCTTCATTTGTTATTGTATGTGCGATAGAAGACCTAGATCATCTGCCAAGTCCAGATCGTATGGTTATATCCGATCTGTCCACTGTATCCTGTGCTTTCCCCCGGATGTTGACGTCTTGATAATCCAGTCAACCAGCAGGATAAACAGAAATGGTGAAATTAGGCAACCTCTTATGATATCGGCTTTCACTTGGGATGAATCTGCAAACCTCTCACCGTTTTGGTTCCTTTCTCCCAGTTCATGTCGTCTCATGATGTCTTCATATTTATTCGGTGTTATCCATTCCAACATTGGTATATAGGTGGTGTCCTATCAACATACTTAAATCCTTTTCCTCTTCACAGCCAGAGCACAACAGCGTCTTTCCTGAAGCTAGTCTTTTTTATCCAGCCTGTGTTAATGTGTTTCACTTATTCCAGGTACCACCCGGTTGTATGTTTCCATGTCCGCGGCAACTTGAATGGTTCTTCGGGTCCCCCACAATGTACGGAGATTCCACGGACCCATATTAATGTTTGCTCTGCTCGTGAAAAGGGAAATCGGCCGCATGACTTCCGAAGAGACGAATTCCATGATGAAGCGTCATAACTAGTTCTAAATGCAGATACTGCAACTTCCAGGGCAGAGTTTAAATAGTTTGAATAATTTTTTGAGGTCAGTCAGTCAGCTGCAATGTGGGACTTCGTACGTACACAAACATCAGTTCAAGTTTCCATACCACATTAGCACAGAGAGAGATGGGACTGTCAATTCAAATCCCATAGTATTAGAGGTAGTAGAAAAGTAGTGAATAAGAACACTGGTGGGGCAACCGAACAGTATTTGACGAAAATTACAGAGTTACTCAGTAAAATCGGAAAACCATATCGTAAATCGTTCATTTGCAAAATATCAGTCCATCATCATATCGAACTGGACTGTTTCTGTTGCAAAACATCAATCCATTGTCTCTACTATTCATGCGTTTCATACAAATTCCATTGTTTTCTAACTCTTCCTTTCTTGATCTTCCTCCATCTTCTGCTGCCAGACATTACGTTTACACTCACGTCATACACTACTTATAAGTAGCTCGCACCACAGAAGTATTAACAGTAATGGAGAAGATTAGGGATCGAAGATTTGATTCGAAAAGTATATCCCAGTGGAATTAACGGTCATGAGGAATTTAGAAGATTAAAGTTTGAGAGAAAACGAAGAAAGAATGCACTTGCACCATTGCAAACGATCCATTTGATCCATTTCATTCACTCACCACGAATCACTAATTACGATTTTCACATGGATTGCAACTTTAGATTGATCAGAGAGAGCTCTAGACATTAACATCGTTGGATACCAGCTATCACAGTGGGTCAGAGGGTAAGCGTTCGCTCGCTAGACCAAATTTCCTGGTTTCGAATCCTGTGAGTAGCAAGAGTCATGAATGCACATTGCTACTGATGAGTAGTCCCATACTACCAGGCAGGATGAAACAGCCACCTCATTGCTTCCAGGTTTCTAATGTTAATCGTCTAACAATCATATTCATTCATGATTTCTCATGTGTAAAAACAACGATCTCCATAATACTAGTATGTTTCATTCTAATTGACTGAATATATATATATATATATATATATATATATATATATAATTATGTTTTTCTTAAATAATTTCCTTTTTTTCTCTATAAAAAAACACCTAAACCTGTTCAGAAACTATTCAACAAGACAACAATGAATTGATTCAACGTCGTCTAAAAGAAGACGAAGAGTCAGAGAAGTTAATTTCAGAAAAATATAAACTTTGTCCAGGTTGTTGGACACCATGTGAAGTAAGTAGACAATGATATGATATGAATAAAAAATATTTCACTATTCTAATTGATTGGTTATGATTATTATTATTGTTTTAACAACCGACTGCCGCGGTGAGTAATGTTTTGTGGTTTAAAAAGGAGTAGTACGTCAGTCAATCAGTCAGTCAGATGCAACGTAGAACTTCATACGTAAGTACATCAGTTCACGTTGCCATACCACATCAGCACACACAGATGTAATTGTCAATTCAAATCCAATAGAAGAAGAGGTAGTAAATGTATTAGAAGTAATCGGAGAGGTTAGGATGAGAAGATATTATTCAAGAAGTGTGATTCAATGAGAAAAGTTTAGAAAGTCAAAACTAGAGGTGTTGAAGAATCCAGAAGACTAGGATTTGAGAGAACACAAAGAATAAATGCACTGGCGTCATTGCGAACGATTTTGAGCCATGTCATTCAAGGTCTCTAACCATCGATTATTATCATCTCGCGGACCCCAACCAAGTAGTCGACAATTACCGACATGACTAAGTCCACTTGTCAATGACTTCATGGATTTCTGCCATGTTTTAATTTGGCCGCCCCTAACTTTCTTCCAACCTATTCCTACACCACAAAACAATGCTCGTCGAGGCAGTCGGTGGTTAGGCATACGTAACACATGTCCCAACCACCTCATCTGATGAAGTTTCAATGCTCCATCTATTGATCTGCCATCCTTACCTAGTACTCGTTTCCTAACTATAGCATTGCTTACTCGGTTGTCCCACGGTATAGGAGCAATGCTTCTTAAACATCTATGATCGAAAACCAGTAACCTACGAATATCTTCTACTCTCACTGGCCATGTTTCACAGCCATAAAGTAAGACGGAGCGAACTACTGCACAGTACACTCGCGCTTTAGTCAGCAAACGGATATCTCGCCTACGCCATAAGTGACGCAGGTTGACAAAAGCCAATCGAGCCTTCTGTATCCGTGCTGAGATTTCGTCAGTCACCAGGCCATCGGCACTGATGAGACTCCCAAGATAAGTGGAGCGGTCAACACGTTCGACTACTTCACTCCCTATCACTAGTTCAGGTGCCTATGCAACCCAGTCTTGAAACAACATTTTGCATTTCTAGGGTGAGAAACGCATCCCGAACATGCTTGCATTGTTGCTTAAGGTGGTCAGAAGACTGTGCATTTTGTCAGCGTCTTCACCAAGTAGGAAAAAGGTAGTAGGTAGAAAGAAAGCTAGCGGTGGCCAAATCAAGACATGACATAAATCCAATGAAGTCACTGATAAGTGAACTGAGTTATGTTAGTAGGTGTGTAAACTACATCTGAGTTGGGGTCCGCGACATGATAGTATCCGATGGTTAGAGACTTTGAATGGCATAGTTCAGAATCGTTTGCAATTGTTTGTGTTTTTTGAAATTCTAATATTTCTCTTTCTAAAGTTTTCTCACTAGATTATTGTTACGCCTGCACGTAAACACGTCAACTTGATATTCTTGAACTGTAACGAGTTTACTGCCTAGTCGGAAAACGTGAGCGAGGATCGAGAATCCGGCGACACGACATGCTACTCAAATCCGATTATCCCAACCCCATATTGAGTAAAAATAAGAAGACAAAACTTCATATGAAGTAGAACGTGTATTCTACAAGCATCCAGAAAGTATAAGGTCCGAATCCAGAAGTGAATCAGTACCCCGGACTAGGGATCTGGGACCAGGTCCTGGTCCTGATCATAAGACGTTACAGATAATGCGTATTTATACATTTTGGTCGAATAGGAAACAGCATCAAAGTCTGTGACATTGATAGTTAAGACGACCAATAGGAAGCGACATGTGAAGTGACATTGATAGTCAGGACAACCAATATGAAACAACATTGGAGCATGTGACATTGATATCTAATAGGACGACCATGAAATTGACCAGTAGGAATGAACCAATAGGAATTGACTAATAATTCTCTTAGGATATTGGATGAATATCTTAACAATATACTTCTTGAATAATATTTTCGAACCATAATCTTTCCGATTATTGCTAATACTTTTACTAATATGGGATTAGAGTTGACGATTGCATCTCTGTGCTAATGTGATTTGGCAACTCGAAATGATTTACGTACGTTCGTGCGAAGTTCAACGTTTTTACTGACTGACTGAACTTGTGTGTACCATTCGTTTAAAAGTAACCTGTCAGTCTTCATCCTTCTAATAAGTGTTAAAGCCAACAGTCTGTTTACTAATATAAACCTTCTAATTATTTGAATATCGTTAATCACAACACTAAGTGAAATTAATATATCATTTTGCCAGAAATGTTACGTTTCGATTTAAATAGGTCTACATCACAAGCGTGAAATTGTTTCACTTCTCCACTCATCAAGTATCTTTTTCAATTCAGGTAATATAATAACTTGAACGGGGACATCATGATAAGTAGCCTACTTGCGAGTATATTAGATGGCATGTCTTTTGTTTTCAATATTTCTATAAGTCATTGTTTTAAGTATTTGTCTGGGTGATTATATTGCATTTCATAGTGTATGTCTCAGAGACACCGACCGTAGCTGCTACCTTGACATGGTGGTCGGGCTTGCCTTTCATGATGAACCAATTAAGCTATATTGGCTGGAACATATGTTCCTGTAGGTTCTACCATGCCAGGCAGGTCGATTGGAGAAGGATGAGACTAAACGCAGCTACTCAAGATCTAAGAGTGAAGTCGTACTGTTGACTGCAGAGAAGTGTGACAGCAGTAAGGTGTTTCCCTCCGACAACCAGCATCTTCAGCGATGCTGCCTTCTCACAAGGAAGAAAGAGTTAGAAAAGGTCGACCCTAAAAATCTCACACCTTACCCTACCTCACGGATTTCCGTCTCCGTCGGGTTAGGGTGCCCACTAAGGGCCTTTAAGTGCGGAGCTAATACTCAAAAAACCTTTAACAAAAAGGCCTTGCGTGACCGGCCTCAAGCAGTTGTCCCTTGGACTCTGCGGTCACGTTCCTAAGTCTCCAAGATCAACACTAATCTATCTTCCATTTCAGGTCTCTCAAGAAACAACCTTCCACGGTGTGGGCAGCCGGGAAGTGACAACCGCCCTCATACCCGTAACGGCACATGAGACCGAATTGGTCACTAGCAAATCCTTCCTACACCCACACCTACCTCTCTTCTCTCCACAACTAACTCTACTCACATTCCCTTATCTCACTGCACCGCTAATGCAAACCATGCGAGTCCACGAGGGCTTAGTGCTGCGTATGCTTAACCACCGACTGCCTCGACGAGCTTTGTTTTGTAGTGTAGGAATAGGTTGGAAGAATGTTAGTGGCGGCCAAACCAAAACATGGCAGAAATCCATGAAGTCAATGACTAGTGGACTGAGTCATGTCGGTAGTTGTCGACCACTTGGTTGGGGTCCGCGAAATGATAATCATCGATGGTTAGAGACCCTGAATGACATGGCTCAAAATCGTTCGCAATGGCGCCAGTGCATTTATTCTTTGTGTTCTCTCAAATCCTAATCTTCTGGATTGTTCAACCCCTCTAGTTTTGTCTTTCCTAACTTATCTCACTGAATCATACTTGTTGAATAATATCTTCTAATCCTAACCTCTCCGATTACTTCTAATACCTTTACTACCTCTTCTTCTATTGGATTTGAATTGACAATTATATCTCTGTGCTAATGTGGTATGGCAACATGAACTGATGTACTTACGTACGAAGTTCTACGTTGCATTTGAATGACTGAGAGAGAGAAAGAGGTAGAACGATACGCCAAATCGTTTGATCTCTTCAAACTCATCTACCATAGTTACTATTCCTAATCATCATGTGGTGTGAGCTACTTATAAGTAGCATATGACGTGAGTGTCAACGTAATGTCTAGCAGCAGAAGATGGGGGAAGATCAAGAAAGGAAGAGTGGGAACACAATGGAATTTGTATGAAACGCATGAATAAGTGAAATGTCAGACAATGAATTGATGATGGATTGAAGATTTGCAAATTAACCGTTTACGATATGGTTTTCCTATTTTACTGAGTTACTCTGTAATTTTCGTTAAATACAATTCGGTTGACCTCACCTGTGTGTTCTCGTTCACTACAATCATTTTATCAACTGAAGTATAATCATGAAATTGAAATTCCAAAGTATCCTGTCTCTCTCCCTCTCTTAAGTTCAGTAATTTTTCACTATGATACCCTGGTATCAATAAGTGTTAACACTTTGAACTTGTCATTTGAATGTGTGTATGCGTGTGTGTGTGTCAGTTTATGTGTGTACTTGTACTTGTGTAACTAACTCATTCGTAGCTTGTCATGTAACCAACAACATTCACATTTTAAGCAACCTTTTAGTCGATTATCTATTAAAAGTTTAAGTTGATTCAAACAAAACACCCTAATAATAATAATAAAATGTGAATTAGGTCATGTTTATGAATGAATGTGTTTATATATATACTTGAATCGTAATTTTTACGTGCCGTGATATATGTATATATAATATAATATAAACAAACTTATTTACATAACGATTTAGTTCATTTTTCAAAGTTGAAAAATTTAGAAAATTTAACATAACAAACAATTAAGATTGTTTATTGTGACTATTATTATTAGTAGTAGTAGTGTAGTGAACGATAACACAGGTGAGGGCAACCGAATTGTATTTAACGAAAATTACAGAGTTAGTTACTCAGTAAAATCGAAAAACCATATCGTAAATCGTTCGTTCATTTGCAAAATATCAGTCCATCATCATATCGAACTGGACTGTTCCTGTTGCAAAACATCAATCAATCCATTGTCACTACTATTCATGCGTTTCATACAAATTCCATTGTGTTCTTGTAACTCTTCCTTTCTTGATCTTCCCCCATCTTCTGCTGCCAGACTTTACGTTGACAATCACGTCATATACTACTTATAAGTAGCTCGCACCACAGTAGTAGTAGTATGATTGAGTTAGTTAGTCATGTTGTAAGACTCATGAAGTTCGTTTATTAATTAATAATCGGTTGTTTTTAGATTGTATTTTATGAAATATATATGTGTAGTTGAATAAACCAAATCTATAAACACTGAATAGGCTGTTTCATTCTGATATGAGAGGTGACCATCCATAACCCTGTATGCGCAATCGAACCCCAAGACCTTTGGTCTTACATTCGATCATTGGGCCAGCGATATCAATGTCTAATTTGAATCAATCCATGTTATTGCCGTCAAATGCTTCCAGGTATCTTATGGTGGTCTAACTTTGATCGATTCATGGTTTCAAATGTGTAACTTAACAATCTTCACAACTCCGTAGTACAATTAAATGTGCTCACTAGTGATTAGCTACGTGAGGAATCTTCTCCGAGTTCTAGTGGGAAATCGTGACCAGTGCAGTTTAACCTGTTCGGGTATAGACAGTAACGATGGAAGACTGTGTATCAGGTTGCGCAACTCCGTAAATTGATCGAAGTTAGACATTAACACCTGGGTTCGTATACTGTGAGGTGCAGGAGTCGTGGATGCGCACTGCTGATGAGTCCCATATCAGGACGAAACGGCCGTCCAGTGCTTCGAGGTTTCTAATGGTGGTCTAAATTTGATTGATTTATGATTTCAAATGTGTAAATCTTTATTCGTTAGTCTGTTCATCAAGGATTCAGACGCTCTTATTTATTCAGTGATGAAGATTATGGTAATTTTTATTCGATAACCAGCTCTACAGAGACGTTCATTTATTCTAGTATTCGTTCAGAGTTAGCAATACACATGGCAATTAGAGAGTCCTTTGCTAATCTCAGTGACAGTTCTATTATTGTTAGTATTTGTATATTACACACTCCCATTGATAATTTAAGGCTTCTAACCGGTAGTGTGGTCAATAAATCAGTGCATACAAGCGGTCAGATTTCATCTCAACAGTCATTCACTTTTGGAATTCAATTCTTTTACAATTCTAGGTAAAGTCAGTCAACAACGACAACATATAACTTCGTACGTACGTAAGTACATCAGCTCAAGTTGCCATACCACATTAGCACACAAAGATGCAATTGTCAACTCAAATCCTATAGTAGTAGAAGTATTAGCAGTAATCGGAAAATTTAGGGTTCGACCATATTATTCAAGAAGTAGAATCTAGTGAAATAAACTTAAAAAAGAGAAAGATACAGGTGATGAGGAACTCTGAAGATTTAGATTTGAAAGAACACAAAGAACGGATGCACCTGCACCATTGCAAACGGTTTTGAGCCATGTCATTCAAGGTCTCCAACCACTAATTACTATCATCTCACGAGCTCCAACCAGTTAGTTGTCAGTCAGTCAGTCAGATGCAACGTAGAACTTGGTACGTAAGTACATCAGTTCATGTTGCCATACCACATCAGCACAGAGATATAATTGTCAATTCAAATCCAATAGTAGAAGAGGTAGTAAAGATATTAGAAGTAATCGGAGAGGTTAGGATTAGAAGATATTATTCAAGAAGTATGATTCAATGAGATAAGTTTAGAAAGACAAAACAAGAGGTGTTGAAGAATCCAGAAGATTAGGATTTGAGAGAACACAAAGAATAAATGCACCGGCGCCATTGAGAACGATTTTGAGCCATGTCATTTAGGGTCTCTAACCATGGATTATTATCATCTCGCGGACCCCAACCAGGTAGTTGGTAACTCTCGACATGGCTAAGTCCACTTGTCAATGACTTCATGGATTTCTGCCATGTTTTAGTTTGGCCGCCCCTAACTTTCTTCCAACCTATTCCTACACTACAAAACGAAGCTCGTCGAGGCAGTCGGTGGTTAGGCATACGCAACACATGTCCCAACCACCTCAACTGATGAAGTTTCACCACTTCATCTATTGATCTGCCATTCTTACTTAGTACCCGTTTCCTAATAACAGCGTTGCTCACTCGGGTGTCCCACGATATACGAGCAATGCTTCGAAGACACCTATGATCGAAAACCAGTAACCTACGAATATCTTCTACTCTCACTGGCCAAGTTTCACAGCCATAAAGTAAGACGGAGCGAACCACTGCGCAGTACACTCGTCCTTTAGTCAGGAAACGGATATCTCGCCTACGCCATAAGTGACGCAGGTTGGCAAAAGCCAATCGAGCCTTCTGTATCCGTGCTGAGATTTCGTCAGTCACCAGGCTATCAGCGCTGATGAGACTCCCCAGATAAGCGAGGCGGTCTACACGTTCGACTACTTCACTCCCTATCACTAGTTCAGGTGCCGACGCAACCTAATCTTGAAGCAACATTTTGCATTTCTAGGATGAGAACCCCATCCCGAACATGCTTGCATTGTTGCTTAAGTTGGTTAGAAGACTCTACATTTTGTAACAGCTTCGATTGGAGCTTATTAAGTACATAAAATAGAAATATTGTTGTACAATTATGAAATTTGTTATTCTCCCCCCCCCCCACCTATAAGAATCAATTATGTATTTCTCTTTTTCTTCATTTTTCATTTTTTTCCAATATTATAGAAAATTACTGGTTGCAATAAAATGACCTGTTCCTATTGTCATTTATTTTTCTGTTGGTTATGTTTACAAGCAATTCATAATCGTGACAATCCATATGCACATTTTACAGATGGTACATGTAAAGGACAATTATGGACAGTAACTGATCCGATAACAATTGAATTTACATGATAGATTAATTCCCGGTTTTATTATTATTATTATTATTATTATTATTATTATTATTATTATTATTATTATTATTTTATAATCTTCATTTGTTTTTTGTTTTGTGAAGAAAAAACCATATTTATTGCATAAAACATCGTCACTGCTACATTGATATATAGTGGTTGGGTTTGCCTATCATGATGAACCAATTGACCTAGTTATATTGGCTGGGACATATAAAGTTTCCTGTAGGTTCTACTACCATGCCCAACAGGTCGATTGAAGATGAATGAGACTAAAAGCAGCAGCTATTCAAGATTTGAAGGTGAAGTCGTACTGTTGACTACTGCAGAGGCGTGTAGTGACATCAGTAAGGTGTTTCCTTCGGATAACCAGTATCTGTAGCGATGCTACTTCCTTCTCACAACCGAGGGAAGGGGTTAGAAAAGGTCGACCCTAAAAATGTCACGCCTCACCTTACCTCACGGATTTCCTTGTCCGGTGGTAAAACCTTTTAAACAGAGCGGAGCTAATACTCAAAAAACCTTTAATGAAAAGGCCGTGCGTGATCGGCCTGAAGCAGTTGTCCCTCGGGCTCTGCGGTTCGTTAATACCAAAGCTAATCTACCCTTCCGCGGTCTGGGCAGCCGGGAGGTGACAACCGCCCTTGTACCCCTAATATCTCTTTTATCTCTACGACTAACTCTACTCACATACCCTTATCTCACTGCACTGCTAATGCAAACGAGTTGCGTTCACGAACCTTATTTTTGGTCTCTTGAAACCCCGTACTCATCTAATAACAGCTTTATTTACTCTTCGGACAGATACAACGCAGAACTTCGTACTTAAGTACATCAGTTCACGTTGCCATACCACATCAGCACAGAGACGCAACTGTCAGTTCAAATCCAACAGTGATAGCGATAGTAGAAGTATTAGCAGTAATGGGGAAGATTAAAGTTCGAATATATGATTCAAGAATTGTAATTCAGTGAGATAAATTTAGAAGGAGAAAGATAGAAATTATGAGGAATTCAGAAGGTTAGAGTTTGAGAAAACACAAAGAGTGGATGCACCTGCGACATTGCAAGCGATTCTGAACCATGTCGTTCTAGGTCTCTAACCATCGGTGACCTATTTACTCTTAATGTGTCTGGGAGCTCTGCTGCTGCTTCGCGTGGCCTCGTTGTTGTAGGTATAGAATCGAGTCTTAGGGCAGAACTATCTTTCTTAGACTGGATCCCGATAGACAGTCGCTTATGCTCTGCCTGACCAAACGGATTCAGAAAGATAGGGACACTCGCCATTGCCTCTTCGTCGTATCTGCCTATGCTCCCACTGAATGCAGTTCAGACGCGGTGAAAGATGGGTTCTACAGAAAGCTTTATAAAGTAATAATGGCTGGTGATTTCACGCCTCAAGTAGGTAGACTAGGTGAAAAGGAAAGACACCTAGGTGGATCTTATGGTGTCGTGGCTCAAAGACCAGATAATCGCGACCGTCTGCTGCAGCTATTTTCAGATAACCGCTCATTCCTAGCAAACACTAACTATAAGCATAGCGAAAAACTTCTTTTGACCTAGAGACCCCCGAAGCTGACCCAACTAGATCACATCTCTATCAGCCTCCGATGGAGAGGTTCGATAGAGGACTGTCGCTCGTTCTGGGCCACATGTTTAGATCCGGATCATGCTCGAGTGCGAGCGCGTATTTGTTTTCGCCTTACTGGACGCCAAAAAATATCGCACAGAAACCTGTTAGGGCTCTACTTAATTATAATAAAACTAAGAATATATTTCAGGAACAATTAGAAAACCAGTTAGGCGACCTCGTAGTAAGTGATGCCCAGCTTGTGGCAGCTTGGAATGATATCGAAAAAGCAGTGGAAACAGCAGTGATATCTGCTAGTAAAGTTAGGTAGAAGCCGTGGATTTCAGTAGCATCTACCGGACTTATGGATGCTCGAAAGCTCATCCCACCTGGCTCTGAGTGCGGTGAGGAGTGGAGTCAGCCTAGGCATACGCTGATCGTGAACAGTGATGGGTAGCGAAAGCAAGGGAGATGGAAAAGGCAACAGTAGACTACTATTCAGACGTATTAGGAAACCGACTTTGAGTGAAACTATCACGGAAAAAGATGGTCTTATTATTCATTCTCAATCCAGAAAATCGGATCGATGGGATCAGTTCAACTGGCCTTTAGCCACACTTCGGTTATCCATGATTTCCAATCATCCTGAATGGCAAATCGATGTAAGTCCTAGTTTTTAAGAAGTTGATGAAGCTATAAGAAATCTGAAGTGAGGGAGAGCAGCGGGTCCTGATAGATTGGCCCCTGAGATATTTAAGGATGGTGGTCCAGTTTTAAAAGCAAGATTGACCGAGATCTCAGGTAGAATCTGGGAACGTGTAGACCGCTTCACTTATCTGGGGAGTCTCATCAGTGCCGATGGCCTGGTGACTGACGAAATCTCGGCATGGATACAGAAGGCTCGATTGGCTTTTGCCAACCTGCGTCACTTATGGCGTAGGCGAGATATCCGTTTGCTGACTAAAGGACGAGTGTACTGCGCAGCAGTTCGCTCCGTCTTACTTTATGGCTGTGAAACATAGCCGGTGAGAGTGGAAGATATTCGTAGCTTATTGGTTTTCGATCATAAATGTCTTCAAAGCATTGCTCGTATAACCTGGGACACCCGAGTGAGCAACGCTGTTATTAGGAATCGGGTGCTAGATAAGAATGGCAGATCAATAAATGAAGTAATGAAACTTCTGCCAGTCTACACCACAAACCAGTGCTCGTCGAGGCAGTCGGTGGTTGGACATTCGTTATACATCTAACCACTTCATCTGTTGATCTGCCATCCTTACTTAGCACCCATTTCCAAACAACAGCATTGCTTATTAGGTGGTACCGGGCTCGAAGACACCTATGATTGGAAACTAGTAACCTAATAATATCCTCTATTCTCAGTGATCGTGTTTCATACCCGCAGTAAGCTCGTCCTTGGGTTACCAGACGGACATCTCGCCTACGCCATAAGTGATGCGTGTTGGCAAAAGCCAATTGAGCCTTCCGTATCCGCGCTGAGATTTCGTCAGTCACCAGCACAGATGAGACTCTTAAGATATAAGTGAAGAGGTCAACACGCTCAACTACTTCACTCCCAATCATTAGTTCGTGCCAAAGCAAGCCAATCCTGAAGCAATCTTTTATATTTCGATGGGCAGAAATAGCATCCCCGAACATGCTTGCATTGTTGCTTAAAACTGGTCAGAAGACTCAATATTTTGTTAACGTCTTCACTGAACAGAACTATGGTGGTTTCTAATGTGTGAGTCTAACATTAGTTAGTTCATATAGTTTCTACAATTTCATACTGACAATGAACATTCAGTATATTTTTTGCCCACATTTACCAAAACTAACCTCATATACAATGATAAGATACTAGTTGTTACTCATATCTTGCATAATTGCAACTCTCAAAATCATTCAGATCGGTGTGTGTATAATACATAGAATAAGTTGAAATTTTATAAGGTGCTCATCATAAATTAATGATTGTAACTCCAGTGTATCTATCATTTTCAACCTTGTCAAAAACAAACTTTTAACGGGTACTGGATACTGTTGGCTATCTAATATATTGTAGTGCCTCCACATATATTCCAATTCGCTTAGATCTAACTTGGTTAAGCCCTTTCGATTAATTTATTTAACCAAGCCATTCGTGTATTGCAACAATTTATATGTACCATTCGTTCTTATTATTATTGTCTGGTTTGTATGATGAGCTCACATGACATGACCCACCATTCCTTCTCCTCACAGGATTCGAACCCGGGACCTTTGGCATTGTAGGCGAACGCCTTACCATCGGACCACTGGGCCGGCATCCAACGGTGTTAATGTCTAACTCTGATTGATCTAGGGATTTTGCGCGACCTCACCCATTTGTCTATGGTAGTTACTGCCTACACCCGACAGTGTTGAACTCCATTGGTCACGTCTTCTCAACTAGAACTCCGAGGATTTCTTCGCGAAGCCGGCCCAGTGGTCCGATGGTAAGGCGTTCGCCTACAATGCCAAAGGTCCCGGGTTCGAATCCTGTGGGGAGAAGGAATGGTGGTTGCGCACTGCTGATGAGTCCCATACCAGGACGAAACGGCCTTCCAGTGCTTCCAGGTTTCTAATGGTAGTCTAACGATAATTGATTGATGGTTAGCTTATTTTGTCGGATTTTATAAATACTTAGTCATTACTCATTGTATTGAATTGGTTCACTCGCTTTCTCCATTTCACTCCTCCTCGAGTGTACGCTTTTCATTTTCATGTTTGCATTTGTGAATGATTGCATGAAATAAATTCATCCACAACAACACCGTATTTTAGCTTCTTACTACCGCTGTCACATAAACGGGGTTCGACTAAGTATCAATATAGGGATATGAAAGGTAGTGTGGTGCGCGCTATTTATAAGTAGTATATGACGCGAGTGTAAACGTAATGTCTGGCAGCAGAAGATGGGGGAAGATCAAGAAATGAGGAGTGGGAACACAATGGAATTTGTATGAAACGCATGAATAGTGAAATGTCAGACAATGGATTGATGATGGATTGAAGATTTGCAAATTAACCGTTTACGATATGGTTTTCCTATTTTACTGTAATTTGCGATAAATACAATTTGTTTGTCCTCACCTGTGTTCTCCTTCACTACAGTAGGATCTATTTCATAGCATACATAATTGTTCAGCTAGACTGCAGTCAATTTGCGGGCGACTAAAATGTGATGGGCCTTTTCTTCGAATTCAACACAGCCACTAAAACCACATTACATTTCGAGGTTATATTTTATTATATATATATATATATATATATATATATATATATATATATATATATATTATATATTATATATATTATTAAAATGGAATAAGGATAGTTATGATGTAACAAGAGTGTTATATTTCTTATAATGAACAATGATTCCTTCAGAAAAAAAGATGTAAGCGATTCATTATATGAAGACTTGTAGGTGGTCTATGGAATGTGGTGCGGTGAGGTAGTATACAATTCACTGTCGTACAAACTGAGTCTTTATAACCAACGGAACACCTTCATGTTCTTTGAGAGTAATCATCACAATAAGATATTGAATACTTTATTTTGTGTAAGCAATAAGTCGAATCATAGCTACAGCTTACTTACTTACTTACGCCTGTTGCCCCAAATGGAGCATAAGCCGCCTACCAGTTTTCGCCAACCAACTCTGTCCTGGGCTTCTCTCTCCAGTTCTGTCCAATGTTTGTTCATTCCTCTCATATCTTTCTCTATTTCTAGGCGTAATGTATTCTTCGGCCTTCCTCTTTTCCTTTTGCCTTGAGGGTTCCATGTGGGGGCTTGTCTCGTGATGCAGCTAGGTGCTTTTCATAGTGTGTGTCCTATCTATTTCCAACGCTTCTTCCTGATTGCCTCCTCCACTGGAATCTGGTTTGTTCTCTCCCACAGTAGGTTGTTACTGATATTGTCTACCCAACGAATCCGAAGTATTTTTCGTAGGTTTTAACTTCGCCAGTAGAACCTTCGGGGCTACTGCCAGTCCCAAGCCCGGATAAAGGAGGAGGGTTGGGCATGAGGTTGGTGACCCCATCCCGTCAAAAACTAACTTGCCAATAAAAAGCTAAACAGAAAAAAATAATTCAAATACTAATTATTCTTAAAACGATTTTCCGCTAAGATGTTTGTATAACAATGTTCTAACGTCAAGCACAGGATATGCTAATATTGAGCTTTTTTAAATATCGATTCACTGATTCTACATTGTATTAACTTCGAAGCCTGATATGGATTTCTGTTTAGCGTTTTTTTCTGGCAAGTTAGTTGGGATGGGGGCGCCAACCCCTCCTCCTTTATCCGGGGCTTGGGACGGGCAGTAGTACCGAAGGGTCTGCAGGCGGAATTAGCCTGATGTGGAACTCCATAAAAAAAAACTTATCAGTGTACTACTAACCGTAGAGCACAATAACAGACACCGAATAAGAGTGAAATATCAACAATATTTTTTCATGAAAACAAAATAATCGTTTAATTTCAAACTATATATTTATAAATTCGGTTGAAACCGTAAGTCGATCAATGTTAGACCATCATAAGAAACGTGGAAGCAGTCAAAGACAGCCTTTTCATTATGTTTTGGGACTTATTGGTGACAGTGCGCATCCATGACTCCTACAACTCACAGGATTCGAAACCGGTCTTACGCGCAAACACCTAACCTCTTGACTACTGAGATGGCCTGTATCTAACGGTGTTAATACGAGATGACCATTGTATCTGCGTGTTCATAAGCTCGGTAATTAGCTCGTCCAGACAATCGTTACTATCTAGCGACTGACGGTTTATCAATCAGAAGATGAACAAAAAGTGATGAATACATTTATTTGGGACAAACCACAAAGCGAAGCGGAGAAGCAGCGAATAAAACGAATGAAGCGACGTGAATTGGAGAAGGCTGTTTAGCCAACTCCTTGGATTACAATGCGAGTGAATGGGTGAAGCGCGCTGGAGAAGGCTAATGAGCCAACTTCAAAGGATAGAGCGTGACTAATAATACATATAGTCAGACAAATATAAGGCAGACATGCATCAAGCGAAATAGGCATACATGAATGAAAGCGACGAATGATTGACATGGTCAAATGACAAGTGGGACACGTCATGTGAGCTCCTCATACAAACCAGACAATAATAATAAGAACGAATGGTACATATAAATTGTTGCTATACACGAATGGCTTGGTTAAATAAATTAATCGAAAGGGCTTAACCAAGTTAGATGTAAGCGAACTGGAATGTATGTGAAGGCACTGCAAATATCTAACCTCGATGTTAGGATATTCATCAAATATCCTAAAGAAATTATTTTGCAAGTCTAATTCTATTGATCAATATTTAAGGTTGTCCTAAACTATCAAGTTCACATACTTTTAAATGCTGTTTCCTCCTATTGGGGTTAGTATTCACAGTTGACCTAACTGTAGAAATATGCATTGGCTGTAAAGTTTTATGCTCCATTTCTTCTTCTGTACTAAAACCTCATATTTTCTGGGTGCTTGTTGTTAGGATATTCATCTTAAGAGAATTATTTTTGGAAATCTAATCTTATTGGTCAATTCCTACCGGTCAATATTATGGTCGTCCTAACTATCAGTGTCATGTACTTGAATGTTGTTTCCGATTGGTCGTCCTGACCATCACTGTCACTTCAAATGTTTTTCCTTATTGGTCGCCTTAACTGTCAATGTCACAGACTTCAATGTTGTTTCCTATTCGACCAAAATGTATAAATACGCATTATCTGTGACGTCTTGTGACCCGGATTCCTAGTCCGGGATCCTGAATCACTTCTGGACTCAAACCTCGTACTTTCTGGATGCTTGTAGAATAAACGTTCTACTTCATATCAAATATTCTTCTTTTACTCAATGGGGATTTGGGTCACTCGAATTAGAGTAGCCTGTCGTGTCGCCGCATCATCGATCCACGCTCTCGTATCCCGACTAAGGTAAACTCGTAATAGTTCAAATTGACGTGTTTACGTACATTCGTAACACTTATAGAACATACTTTCTATACCATATCAAGACTTTTTGATACCGTTAGTGGGTTGGTTTAGGACGATCAGATTAAAATAACCTATCATATCACTGGATCACTTGTCTTAGCTCTCATTTATCAACTAAAATGAACTCGTAATAGTTCAAATGACGTGTGCATACCAATCGATCAATCCATGATCTTGTTCAAACCTCATCCAGAGTGCTTACTTAGCACCGCCGATCAGTAGTTATGTAATAATAATGAAGAATATTTTGGGGCACAGTTTTGGAGATTTGCGTTTTTACACATTTGAAATCATCAATCAATCATTGTTAGACCACCATTAGAAACCTGGAAGCACTGGACAATGATTGATTGATGACTTCATATGTGTAATAATGAAGAAGTTTAAAAATTCTGTTCACTTATTTTTTTGTTTCATTCCAAAATCATTCATATATTTTATTAAAAAATTAACATTTCATGTTATTCAAAATATGAATATTCCTAAATTTGATAGTAGTATGTTGTGTATGGAAAAAAAAGTACGAATTTAAAAAAAAAAGTAGTGGAAATCAGAATACATTGACAACCTTGAACAGCTAATCAACCAATCAGGAAAATAATGTCAAGTTACGAGAAAAAAACATGTCAACAATGAAAAGCCATAAAATTATCTCATCCGACGGACATATTGGGAGTTGGATTCGTTTTATAGGTTAAGGGTATCATTGATTGTGCGTAAAGTTTTTCTCACTAATTAATTTGATTGACAACAGCTTGCATTCAAAAAAAAAATAGCTTAAGGTTAAATTATCAAAGTTTTATCGAAATTATAAGTTTAATTGTTTTAAAATTAGGTTTAAAGTTTAACATCATGAAATAAAATCAACTAGGATATAATACACAGTTGAAATTTATCGGAAGAAGAGTTAAAAAGAAAATTTTATGAATTTTTAAGTATTTTAAGGCTTATATTCTTTACTTCATCAGTACATTTTAAATTTTGCGCATAATTTTATGAAGCGTTGTTATCTCAATCCTGATTGGTTCTTGTGTCAAGGTCATCCGTATGGTAGTACACTTTTAGCGCGTAAATTACAATTATTTGGAAGAATAGAGAAAAAAGAACACTTTTTTATAAAATAAATTTCACAGAGAATCTTTTCTACATATATTACAATTTTTTTTTTTAAAAAAAAAACGATTTCATTACATTTTTTGTTTACCAAACTGTTCTTGCATTCATTAATTTACACTTCATTGAATTGTCATGACCGAGAAAGTATGAAACAGGTTGTAATGTGTAATTTAGTAGATAAACATAAGAATGATGAGTATTTTGACTAGATGTCGGTATGATAGATGATGATGACGAGTCGGAGGAGGAGGAATAAGTAGTATTGTTATGATGAGTAGTATTAGTAGTAGTAGTAGTAGTAGTAGTTGAATACCATTGGATAATAAAGGTATTCGCCCCTTGATTCATTGCAAAACAAATACTATCTGGTAAATTTTTCACCTTCATATCGATAATAAAATCAATATGACCTTGAATAGCCATACCTTTATTGATAAATTGATGTGTTTGATGATTATAAGATGATTGTAGTAAATGTGCACTAATTGTATTGACAAAACCAATATTTGTTCGTACATTACTACGTCCTGATGCATACCAAACACTTGTTTCCATTGCACTTTGCATATTCATAGTTAATGAAGCTAAATGATCAATTTGTATTATCCAACCAGATGTAAGGGTTGTTTGAATACGTTGATCAATGATCAATTTGTTCAATTGTAATATTGGTTGAAATTGATTCGATGCAGAGAATAATAAATTCATGAGATTTTTGAATTCACCAGAAAATATTTCATTTGGTAATAAATTAATATTTAAATAATTTAAATTTATATTTAACCATGTTTCTTTGTCTGATGATGATGATATTGTGGATTTTGAATGTTTTTCATTCACTGATAACATACTACTACTACTACCACTACTACTACTACTAATACCAGCTAATTTAAGTAATTCATTTGCTTGTATATTAAAATTTACCAATAATGATTCCCCTTCTTTACTGATTAAATTAATTTTTAAATCAGATAATTGTAAAGCACCATTTGAATCAAGTAGAAAATATGATGTATAATCAATAAGTAATAAATTATGCAGATTATAAATTTCATTATGTAATAAAATTGATTGACCAATTAGAGTTGTTAAATGTTGACCAATAAAAACACTAGGCCATTTAAAATAATGACGACATTTTGGTAGTAGTCCATTTAAACAATCACATTCATATTTAGTCAATAATTCAAATTTACACCAATATTGTAGAAATTGTTGAAATATTTCAATTAATGACCATCTTTGTTGTTTAGCTAGATCGTGTAATATAGTTGACATATGTATCATTGATAAATTAGAGAATAATAAAATTTTTAAAATCTCGTTACCAATGATTAAATCATCATTATGTGTTGTATCATTAGATGATTTGTATAAAATTTCAATTAATCTTGTTCTTATCTCAGCTAATTGTTGTTCATTTGAAATGATAGAATCAAAATGTCTGTGATGGCTTTTTGTAGATTCTGCAGAAAAATGTATTTTACCAATTATTTGAATAGCTAAATTACGTAGAGTTGAACTAATATTAGTATTGAGTATGATTTTAAATAATGATCTTGTTAAAGTTGGATGATTTAATGTTTTAGCCATTGATAAACCAATTAATAAATGTTTTCGTTTAGAATTATTATTATTTTTCAATTTTGATAGATCAAGTAATACTTGAATTTGTTGAATCATTTGTTTAAAATAATCAAATGTTTCACAATTCACAATGCGTGAATTTAAATTGACCAATGTCATCAAACACACATAGTTTTGATCGATTTTAATTGATTTTTCACATGACTCATACAGATGACTCATTTGATCTGTATTGATTCGACGAATATGGGCTAAAGATGGCCAAAGTTTTTTAAATAACATTTCTTTGGTTTGAATAATTTCAATGGAATTTTCATTGAAATTGTCTACATTTGAATAAACAAATTTAGTTAATGCATCTAATCGATTGAATACAACTGTTAAACATGTTTTTGTACCACAATTAATTAAAATATCAATTAAATGATCTCTCCATGTATTGTATTGTCGATGGAGTAATTGTATTTCAACAAATGGTGGAGTTAACATTGTTGCACTACTTAACATAAGTATCGATTGATTTGTTTCGGATAGACAACGTAATCGACCGATCAAATGTAGTAGAGTTTCAGCTGATTTAATTGTTCCAATCATATCATTTTGTAATGAATCACGATGTGATTCAATGAATCGGCGTAAATTGGCGAATTCTTCATCGCTTTCATTATTCTCACTGTTGTTTGCATTGAAATGATCAATGTTGGTGAATAAATTCGCATTTAAACTACATGACGATGACGGTGAGTTTGTAAGTGGATAAATTAAGCCTAAATGAATTGTTTGATAATCGCAGCCGAGTAACATTCCAATGACCTTAAAATAAAATTGAAAAAAAGAAGTAGTTACATAAGCATTTACATTATGAAATGATCGAGTTTTCTATTTGGAAACTGACTAACCAAACTTGAACACACTTTTCAGTAGTGGTGTGGTGCGAGCTACTTATAAGTAGTATATGACGTGAGTGTCAACGTAATGTCTGGCAGCAGAAGATGAGGGAAGATCAAGAAAGGAAGAGTTAGAACACAATGGAATTTGTATGGAACACATGAATAGTGACAATGGATTGTCGATGTTTTGCAACAGGAACAGTCCAGTTCGATATGATGGACTGATATTTTGCAAATTAACAATTTACGATATGGTTTTCCAATTTTACTGAGTAACTCTGTAATTTTCGTTGGATACAATTCGGTTGCCCTCACCTGTGTTCTCGTTCACTACAATGTGACAAACGATATTAAAAGGTGTGGTAGGTACATATGTGTTGCTGTGAAGTTGAAAATTTAAACTACTGAGAAAATGAATGAAAATTGTTTTGATTGTGAAAAGTAAGAGAGAAAAATCACTAAAAGATTCCATCAACCAAGCAAAGCATGTAAAATGCTGGGAGTACTAGACGGCCGTTTCGTCCTAGTATGGGACTCATCAGCAATGCGCATCCATGACTCCTGCACCCCGCAGTACTCGAACCCACGACCTTCGGTGTTGTGCGCGAACGCCCCAACCGTCAGACCGCTGAGCCGGTGTCTAACGGTGTTAATGTCTAACTTGATCAAATTCACGGAGTTGCGCAACCTCATACCCTGTATACATCCGAACAGGTTTGAACTTCACTGGTCACGACTTTCCACTAGAACTCGGAGAAGATCCCTCACCAAGCTAGTCACTAGTGGACACATGTAATTGCATTGCGGGGTTGTTGTGAAGATTGTTAAGTTTTATTTATAACCATGAATCGATCCATGTTAGACCACCATTAGAAACCTGGAGGCACTGGACGGCCGTTTCGTCCTGGTATGGGACTCATCAGTGGTAGTGCGCATCCACGACTCCTGCTCCTCACAGGATTCGAACCCGGGACTTTCGGTATTGTGCGCGAATGCCTAACCATTGGATCACTGGGCCGGCATCCGACGGTGTTAATGTCTAACTATGATTGATCTAGGAATTTTGTGCGATCTCATCCATTTGTCTTTGGTAGTTACTGCCTACATCCGATAGGGTTAAACTCCACTGGTCAAGTTTTCTCATCACTAGAACTCCGAGAAATATAGTTTGTTCAAGGAATATGAACACATTAGCTTCAAAAATCTATTTACGCATGTAGCCATCGAAGCAAGTTATTGACTATTTTCTCTCAGTCTTTTTCTAATCTTCAACTAATCTGATCACTGATATGTTCGTCAGTTGATATGCTTGAAACTATTACGGGTTCACCTTTGTCGGTAAACAAGAGCGAAGACAAATGATCCAATGACACGATAGGTTATTCTAATCTGAGTGTCCCAAAGCCACACTACTTAGAGGAGGAAGTCTTGCTATGGCGTAGAAAGTTTATTCTACATGCACCCAGAAAACTTGAGGTTCTTCAAACTCTTAAATCAAGTTTATTTTTACATAATAGAAACGTCCTTGCAAGAGCCACAAAAGTGGCGTAATAAAAAATAACATATCAACCAATAACAGCCACAGATTTTCTGGGTGGGAAGCGCAATCTCAAGGTCAACTGATCAGCCCATGTGTGAACACATAGAATTAAAAAATTACGACTATTATCGAATAAGTTCTGAGATCTAACGTCCCCAACAATCACAGCTTACACTGATCTCCTGATACTGTTCTTTCTGGTAGCAACATCTAGACAATGTTCCTCTGGAATACTACTTCTTACAGGCGATCTTAATACTAATCTTATTTTAAAACTTATCAACACAATAATATATCTTATAAAAATACTTCAAAATGAAACGATGTTTTATAAAATGTTGAATTTATTTTCAAGGAAAATCAATAATAACACCCACTGTAGTGAACGAGAACACAGGTGGGGCAACCGAATTGTATTTAACGAAAATTACAGAATTACTCAGTAAAATAGGAAAACCATATCGTAAATCGTTCATTTGCAAAATATCAGTTCGTCATATCGAACTGGACTGTTCCTGTTGCAAAACATCAACAATCCATTGTCACTATTCATGCGTTCGTTTCATACAAATTCCATTGTGTTCTTCTAACTCTTCCTTTCTTGATCTTCCCCCATCTTCTGCCTGTCAGACATTACGTTTTTACTCACGTCATATACTACTTATAAGTAGCATACACCACAACATGAACCGAAAAAAAAGTCATTGAACATTTAACAGCTTATATTTACCATATTCACTCTGTGTTATCACTAACATATTAAAACAAATTCCATTCAAGATTTCTTTTGTTTAACATAGTCATGATTAAAATTATTTAATGAAAATCTAAAAAACTATACATTAATATACTAAAATCTATGAAGACAATAATTCGTGAACCGGATCAACAGATGTAATATTTCAATTGTCAATAAGTATATTGCACCCAACACTTTTGACTATTTTTACGATTCGCTTGATTAGTTAGTGATGCATATTAGATTTTAGTATTTTATTGAGGACTTCACTAGATGAATAGATGTATTTTTACACACTTGTCTACTAGGAACATGTCTAAAACATTGGTGTGGTGCGCGCTACTTATAAGTAGTATATGATGCGAGTGTAAACGTAATGTCTGGCAGCAGAAGATGGGGTAAAATCAAGAAAGGAAGAGTGGGAACACAATGGAATTTGTATGAAACGCATGAATAGTAGTGAAATGTCAGACAATGGATTGATGATTGATTGAAGATTTGCAAATTAACAACGGTTTACGATATGGTTTTCCTATTTTACTGAGTAACTCTGTAATTTTGGTTAAATACAATTCGGTTGTCCTCACCTGTGCTCTCCTTCACTAAAATTGGAACCCGATATACAGAATGATGAACACAGATCCAATAAAATCTAAGGTTTGAAATCAAATCTTGGCGTTATAATTTTTGGTGTACGAGATCTGAGAGCGATACATGTTATATATATATATATATATATATATATATATATATATATATATATATATATAAACTTCACCCCCTTAGAAAATTAGTCCATTTTTTAACCAATGATATTCAATCAACTTTTAGGAAAGTTCTGATGGTCATCAGATGGCCTTCTCATTTACTCACTTCTGATTGGCTCAATATATATCATATTGACAAAGAAAATACATTCTGTTTTACAGTACACACTAACTAAAGTTTAAAAGTCACCGTAATTGATTGAATTTTTACACAGAGAAAGAACATTAAAAAACACTTTTGGCATAACTGTTCAATCTACTTAAAATATAATCATTGTATAGAATGATAATATCAAAGTTTAGCAGTTAAATTGCCGAATTCAAAGAACACCATGAAATGTTGCAACAAACAATTCATGAATACATGAACAAAAATGTGAATTTTCAATAAATGTAATACACTTAAAAAAAACTTTGTTCAGTACAATAAGTTGATACTATACCATTCACCTTGAAATTCGATATGAATTAAAAATCCAAATAGAATTGAGCTAAACAAAAACATTTTCAATGTTAACTACAGTGAAATATTAAGATAAAATTGTAAATTCTGTAACAAGATAGTAGAAGTGCACTTCTATGAAGTATCATACTGTGGTGCGAGCTACTTATAAGTAGTATATGACGTGAGTGTCAACGTAATGTCTGGCTGCAGAAGATGGGGGGGGGGAGATAAAGAAAGGAAGAGTTAGAAGAACACAATGGAATTTGTATGAAACGAACGCATGAATAGTGACAATGGATTGTTGATGTTTTGCAACAGGAACAGTCCAGTTCGATATGATGAACTGTTATCTTGCAAATGAACGATTTACGATATGGTTTTCCGATTTCACGTACGTACGTACGTAAGAAATTCTACAGTGTGACTGACTGACTGACTGACTGACTGACTAACTGACTGACTGACTTTAGTATAAGTAGTTGCGTAGTACAAATAACTGTTTGTTTTTTTTTAAACAAACCACTTAGTTCAAGATTCATTGTCATTTTAACAAGAAACACTTATGAATCGTATGATCAGTACAGCTCTGAATAAGCAGAAATTTACCTATAACGAATATGATTTACATGTTTGTAATATTAAGGATTGTATTTAACTGTAATAAGATTGCCTCAATGTTATCATTTATTCTAGTGAAGTTACATTCTCTGAGCTGGATACGGTTTAGTTGTGGAGCTTTCATTGCTTTTCTGAACAAACGCATCAGTACAAAATTCAGGTAGAGATGTGCAGTATTAGAATCGTTGAGTGGGGATGACACGTAGATTGTTCTTTTGACATAGATGGAAAGGAACACTCAAGACAGAGTTGGTTGGAGAATGCTGGTCGGCCGCCTATGCTCCATTAGGGATAATAGAAGTATGTAAGTAAGCAACAGTTTATAATCATATCCTTTCACGAATTTTTTAAAAAAAGAACACAATTAATCTCTTGGTTCTTCTTCTTGGTTTACAGTAGTTCACTATTTGTTGTCATTTTACAAATAAAAAGTTTACGACTTGTTCACTTCAATCAAAACATGTACACAAATGAATTGGATCAAAGTCTGTTAGTCAGTCAGTTACAACGTGGAACTTCGTACGTTCAGGTTGCCATACCACATCAGCACAGAGACGCTAATGAGAGTTGAAATCTCGTGGTGGTAGAGATAGTAGAAGTATAACTGGTAATGGAGAAGATTAGAGTTTGAAGATATGATTCGAGAAGTATAATTCAGTGAGATAAGTTTCGAAAGAGGAAGATAGAGATGATGAAGAATTCAGAAGATTAGGATTCGTGAGAACACAATCAATAGATGCACCTGAACCACTGCAAATGATTTTCAGCTATGTCATTCAAGGTCTCTAACCACTGATGACTTTCGTCAAGCTGA